TGTGGGTGGGGGCGGGGGAAGATTGAATGGAAAGGCGGGAGGAGGTGGGGGCCTGGAGGAGGGGGCGACCTCGCGGGGTGCGGGCTGAGGGGAAGGAATGGGGCGCGAGGGGGATGGGAGAAAGAGGGGATGGTGGGGGAGGGGAGAGCCCACTCCCTCGCCAGCCTCCGCGGCATCGACAACAGCTGTTATTTATTGAGGGCCGGTCCTCGCTCAAACAAGTATTTATTGGGCGCCTCCCGTGTGCCAGGCACGGTGCCCGGGAAGACTGAATAAATCGCAGCCCGCCTTCGCCCTCCCCGGAGCTCCTCTCTGGGGGTTTGACGTGCCCTGGGCCTGGCTGGACCCATTTCGCCGCAGAGGAAACTGAGGCCGGAGACGGGGAGCGGGAAGGCGCCACAGGAGCCGGACCCTGTGGGTTTTGTTCCATAAAAGTGGAGCCACGGCATGAACGGGGGTGACCTGGACGGTCAGGCGGGGGTGAGATTCGAGCCCAAGGTGGCCGGCTGCCCCACAGGCCTCTAGGTGCCTGGCCAGGGGCCAGTGCTCCAGGAGGGGGCAGGGCGGTGACCCCCAGACCTCACCATTCCGGGCATTTTCCAGGCCTGGCCCCCAGGGGGCTGGGCAGAGCCTGGCCTGGCCTTGCCCTTGGCCTTCTCTGAGGCTTGGTTTCCACATCGTAAAGGGGGGGCTAATAACAGCGGGGAGGGGTTCATTCAACGGCAAACATTTCTTCATCTGCCCTGACCTTGGAATGACATGCCAGGGCGCAGGCATACAGCAGGTAATCCATAAATACCAGACTCCTCCCGGAGCTCCCATCAGGCTGCAACTTCACTCCACCCCATCCTCCGACCAGTCCAGAGGGGCAGCCCACCCTCGCGTTTGCTACCCACTCCCCCCAGGGCCTCCTGAGCCCCCATTTGGGGAACAAGTCTAGGGAAGCTGTGAATGGCCTCTGGCAGCCGTCCCTCCGCCCTGTGCTGCCCCCCGTTGACCTCTTTCCCCATCCAAGAGGGGGCTGCCTTTGCGTTCTCACTGATGCGAAAAGCTCCTGCCTTCAACCCAGTGGCTGGTCCAGCCACCAGGCCTTAGTCTGGCGATGGGGGACCACCAGACCGCACTGGGAGTTTCAGGGCTGCTCTGAGTCAGGAGCTCCAAGGCTCCGCCCACCACTTACTAGCTGTAAACCTCTTATAATTATTTTGTGAAATCTTTTTTTGCCTCTGTTCTTCCTCCCTGCCATGCCACAGCCCCGCGAGTCCCTTGGGGTCTCCCTCTCCCTTCTGGGGCTGGTCTGGGTAGGGCATGTGACTTGGCCCTAAGCCACTCCCACATCCCGTTTCCTGGCCTCCCGGATTGATTAGGGGAGGGGCATGTTGGGGCTTTTGCAAGGAATCTTGGGAAACAGACTTGTGCGTCATGAGTAGGATTTGAAGCTGAGTCCCCATCTTAGACAACAAAGAGAGACCTCTTGTAAGAAGGAAGCCACCAGGTGGTGGAGGGTAATGGCCCCAGGGCCATCATTGCAGCCCTGAGCAAGCTGTTCCTGAAGTCCATGGCTGGGTTTTCCTTCATGCAATCTTTGTTGAGCAATATTTTGTGCCACGTGTTGCTACAGGTACTGGGGACAGAGCCAGGAAGAACAACAATCTCCATCTCCTGGAGGTCACCGTCCTGGCTCAGAACTTTTGCACCGGCTGTTCCCTCTGCCTGCAACGCTCTTTCCCCTGATATTCCCATGGCCGGCTCTATCTCCTTCTTCAAGTCTTGCCCACCGCTCCCCCCCTTCAAGATTACACCCCGACACACCTCCTCTTCCACTTCCTGCTTTATTTAATTCTTAGCATGAGTCACCATGACATACTCTGTGGAATTCTTATTTTTGTTGATTCTCTGTCTCCCTCTCCAGAATGTCAGCTCTGAGGGAAGAGGTTTTCCTCTGTGTGGTCCACAGCAGCAGCCTAGAGCCCAGAACAGGGCCTGGCACACAGTTGGTGCTCAGTATTGCATAACTAGGGAGCTGAGGCAAGGCTCCCAGTGGAGGGGGCCTTGACATCGTGGTTCGAATGTTAAGAAGGAGGCAGTGGGGGCGAGGGCATTCCAGAAGGAGGGCACAGCAAATGCAAAGCCTCGTATAGCCAGGACATTCTCTTTTATCTTCAACCAGCTTGGACTCACTTAAAAAAGTTGTTTTTTTTGGTAAGTTGCAACCTTTAGAATCCGGAGTGATGTAATGAGTTGCGCCAGGACGGATGCAGTACTCCAGCGCTGCCACAGGAGGGCGCAGCGGAATCCCATTGTCGCCCTGGGACTGCAGGAACTGGGAACATAAGGCAGGTGATGATCGTGGAGCACTTGCCTTGAGGCCTGTTTCAACTTCACAACAGCCCTGTGAGGTAGGCACCATTATCATTCCCATTTCCCAAATGAGAACACTGAGGCACAGGGAGACTGAGTAACTTGCTCGAGGTTGCTTGGCTAGGAGTGGCAAAACCAGAAAAGAACAATTGTGATAAACATCACCTGTTATCTGACCACCCAGGGGGCAGGCAGGTGAGCTATGAGGCTGAAGAGGGAATCCCTGAGGGGCCCTGGGATCATTGCCCCCAGCGGGGGTGGGGTGAGGTGGATCCCCTTTCCCAGGGGCTGGAGCCCCCATCTGTAGCCCACCTGCCAGATGTTTCCCCAGCTGTAGGTTTGTGTCCCCTTAGATGTTGAGATGAATCGCATCTGACCAGAGTCAGGTGAAACTGACAAAAAGCCACACCTCTCCCAGTTGGGGGTCAAGGAAGCCTCCCCAGAGGAAGCACATTTCATAGGAGATCTGAAGGTTAATTTGGAGTTGGGCCCTTGGAGAGGCGAGGAAGAGTTTCTGGCTGAGGGCACAGCATGGGCAAAGGCCTGGAGGTGGGAGAGGCAAGGGCATGAGGTCAGTTTCCTCTGGGATTCCTCCTGTGTCTGGAGTGAATATTTACTCGAACTCCGCCCAGCAAGTCAGACAGAGAAAAACAAATCCTGTGTGATCTCACTTATGTATAGAATCTAAGTCGAATGGTGGTTACCAGGGGCTGGAGGCGTGTGTGGGAGAAATGGGGAGACGCTGGTCAAAGGGTGGAAACTTCCAGTTAGAAGATGAGTAAGTTTTGGGGTCTCATGCATAGCATGGTGATTATTATTAACAATACTCTATCGTATACTTGAAAGTTGCTAAGAGAATAATCTTGTGTTCTCAAGGCAAAAAAAGAAATGGTAATTATGTGACGTGATGGAGGTGTTAGCTTAAGGCTGCTGTGGTCGTGTCACAGTATATGAGTGTATCAAATCAACACATTGTACACCTTAAATTTATACAATGTTACATGTCAATTACATCTCAATAAAGCTGGGGAAAAAAACCCCAAAAATCCCCCAACTCCGCCCAGCAAATGCAATTCTACCCTCCCACCATCCCCCTCCGTTTCTAATGAGCCCTGGAGATCCCCCCGCCCCACTGCCCGCCCCACCCCCATCACAGCACACAGAGGCCCCCCCCCTTGTCCCCAGCTTTGGGGACTGCTGTTGGGACCACCACTCTTGACCTCAGAGTGCTGATCTGAGGGCTGGCCTCAGTTTCCCCTCTGCTGCTGGGGCAGACGTGACTCGGCAGCTCCCTTCTCTGCCACCCCCCTGAGCACGTGGCTGCCGATTGGAGCCCGGCACTTTGCAACTTTGACGCACGCTTCGAACCCGGCAGCCTTTCCTGTCCTGTCACCGCCTGGACCTCTGTGCTGTCCTGGCACGTCCAGGGGAGTGGCCGGCCTCGGGCCTTCTGCCCTCGTTCTGCCACCATGGCCACCCCGGAAGTTTCAGGGTTGCCAGGCAGGATAAAATCCCCTCTCATCCTTAAAGGAGAGACCCCGATGGGGTGGGACCTCCTTACATTTTGCCTGTGTGTGTGAGGGGGGTGGCGAGCGAGTAGGGGCTCTCAGGCTGGGGGCCTGGCTTCAACACGCCCAGGTTGGCTTCTTGGGTTCGCATCCCGCATCCTTCACCAGCTGTCTGTCGGCGCTGTGGACCAGAGACCATGAACAGCCCGAACAGCCATCTCCCCTTCCGTCAGGGAAGTCATGCCCGGATGGAGCAGCCCATTTGGATGGGCTGCTGTCCCTGGTGGCCTGGGGCCTGCAGAGGGGGCCAGAGTATTAACTGGGAGTCAGGGGGCTGCTGGGAAGGACCAAGAGGGATGAGGGGGCCTGGGATGGGTGCGGTCCAGCTGGAGAAGGAAGCAGAAACCCCGAGGGATGCGGCTTCTGCTCCAGAGGGGCAGTGTCCAGGGGACACCAGGACCCCAAGGGACACCCAGTTCTCAGCTTCTGCTGAGGCCTCATCAGGGCTGCGTCCTTGGCTCCAGGGAGCAGAGAAACCGATGGAGGAAGCGATGCATGCTCTGGCCCTTCAACCCTGTAAATATGGGACCGTGAATCTGGGGAAACAAAATGCTGGTGATTCCCCAGGAGAGCCCCGGAGGGCGGCTGTAGATGCCCGTAGATGCCTGTCAACTCCTGCTTA